TATATTCTTGAAACCAAGATGTGTGAGTTGTATCTTGCGAGTTGGTTGCACATTGATAATATGTAAACCCACCAGTAACTCCGTGTTATAAAACATATTGTTGTGTGTGATTTGGTGAGTGAGTGCAAGAGAGCATTGAGTCAAAGTTTATTCGTTCCTTTTATCCAAAGTAGGATAAAAGCGATATCTGTGGGCCCCTCGATAATTTAGTGATGGCACCTAAGCGCTTGGCCAAGCCGGGACTAAATTGATGTGTTCAATTGTAGTCTGTTGTCAGTCGTCATAAATCTGAATTCGGGAAACAGCACATAGACAGAGAGAATGATTTAGATCCATGTCTCAGTCTATACGATATCTAGAATGGAGGAATATATGATCCCTTATCTAAAGGGCACGCGTATTTGATAAGATCAGAGTTGACATCGGCTTTAGAAAGGTACGATTATAGATCAGGATCTAAAGTCATATGCGGAATAGTTATTAGACTTATCCAAGTGGGAGACTGTTGGATTAGTGTCTAAGTCCATAACTATTTTGGTATGTACTTGACCCGTTGGTTCATGGTCCTTTTGGGTTGCCTTTACCAAAGTAACTTGATAGGATGAATTATGGAGAGAAAGGATTAAATATGATTTATTAATATATTATGAGAATAATATATTAAAGGAGAAATCATATTGTTTGATTAATATTAGTCAAGAATTAATAAGAATTAAGTTTGTGGGTAAAAGAGATTAATTAAACTTAAGGGATTGGAATTGTAATTATAAGATAATTGCAATTGGGCTATGGATTACCTTGTAATATAAGGTTGGACGAATTCTATGGGGAAACCCATTAGAAATCATCCAAGGCTTGTTAAAGAAGGGTCCATGGGTTGCTTAGGGCCTAAGCATCCAAATTAGGGTTTCCTTGTTAGATAACCCTAATAGCCTCTCTGTTTAAAGAACCCTTATGGCTCAAAAACGTAGTGAACTAATTAGTTAGGGTTTCCACACATTTTGGGCAGCCTCCTTCTCTTCTTCATCCTCTTGCTCTTGGTGTTTGTGAACCATTAGAGGAGTGACATTTGTGACTTTAAGCTTTCTGAAGTCATTACAAGAAGGATTTGGGATTGTTATTGCCACATAACAATCAAGGTATGATCTAAACCCTAATTCATATGTTGTATTGATTATCATATACTAGATCTAGGGTTTATAGTCTTGGATGAATTGCATGTACAATAGAGAAACCTAGATCCAAGCATTAGGGTTTGCATAAGCACATAGGATGTTTTTATGGCTAAAACCAATCACTTAGTTCCTACAAAAGAACCTAGAAGTTCATATCATTCTCAAGGATATGATATTGGATCTTCCATATTTAATTGATGTATTGCAAATGGATATAGGATTATCAAGGTGGTTTCTCAAATTATCAACCTCAAATGAATTCCAAAAATTCATATGCACAGTTGATGATGACGATTCCATCCAGAATTTCTCAAATTCAAGTTCATGCTCTTATAACTTTTATTGTTCATTTTCTTAATTGAGCCCAAAAATTCATTAAAGATCACTGTTCATCTATCCATTCTTTTGAGCCCAAAAATGATTTTATTGTTCATCTAATATCCGAGTCTGTTCAGCAAAGAAGAAAGATCAGATGAATTGAAAGTCAACCATCATAGTCAAAATCAGAACATAAGTTGTGATAAACTCTCACGAGATTCGCAATTGAATAAAATATCAAATCAATGAAATTGATTTTGGTATATTTAGCGATTTACTTGGATTCAAGTTTGTATTTGGAATGAGATTCAATTGTGAATGACATTGTGAAAACGAAGAAGGAGATGATCATAACGATCATTGTGATTTTGGTATGTGTGTTCAGAGAGTCGGGTCTCGTAAGTTTGGATTTGATATAAGATTCGACACAAAAGTGAATGGATGATAACAAAAACTGACTGGATAAGTTTTCAACTTGAATGGAGATTATTCAATAGTGAGTAGGTGTTGAGAACGAAAGTGGTTAACGATGCTTTGATCTATTCGATTTGAGTTGTTGTGGTCGAAAGATGATTTGCATCGAGTAGGGATTTTCACAACTGGATATTGACTTTTCAGTTTTGATTATCGCTATTGGGTTCTTGTAACTGGGATAGGTCGATTGTGAACTGAAGAACTCATATCAAGAACAAAAAATTGTTGGATCTTGAGTTACGAATTTCAATTTTCAGGAGACAAAGATTCACACTTGTTACGAGTATTAGAGCATCGTTATTGGAGTTAAGATCGAAAGATGTTTTGAGTGTAAATGTGTACTCATTAGAATTGAAAGTGGATGATATAGCAGTCGAAAGTGAAGTCTCGACTTAACTGAAGATGAATTGGTGATCATTGGAATCGAAAGTTCAAGATTGGATTCGAAACTTGCCTGAGAGTTAAAAGTAGTTTCTGCTAATCTTGTATTCGTTCTTTGGTTTCGGTTCTAGAACGAGTTAGGAAGAAGAAGACTCTGATTTTCGTTTCAGGTCTCTATAGTTTTAGCGATTTATCAAATGTCAACCAAACTCGCAACATTTTGCAACTGGAACGAAAAATGGGAAAGTGTTGGTAAATTTTCAAAATTGATCCCTGGAGTTTTAGAATGTTAAATAACCATCACCCAGAAGTCGAAATCATCACAATTTTTGAAGATTTTCTCTCGGCTTTTTGGGTTGGTTAATTGGTGCAAAATTGTTTGTGGTTTATGAACAATGTGTGTTCGTTTTCAATTCCGGGAAGTCAAAGATTTGAAGAATTTGGCGTATTTTTTTTGGATTTTCTCAGAATTGAAGTGCTGAATTTTTGTCACGCATCGAGGGGGAGTTTCGTATGGATTACTCCTCCAGCGTTTTCATATCTTTTTTGGTTTTATAATCATTTTTTGATTATAAAAAGGGTGAGAAAATGAAACGGGTATTCGAAAGATATTTGTTTCAAAGCGGATTTGAAGACCGGTATTACTTCGGCAGGGAGTTGGTCTTGATAGCTTGGTGCTCGTCTGGATATAGAAGTCGGGGCATCCAATCCTAACTTTGAGGGGGAGAATGTTATGGTGAAAAGTTCTCCTTGAATGTGATGTAGGCTTACGCTCTTTAGATGTGTAATGGTTTGAGCTTTTCCTATAAATAGGAAGTGGGATTCTCTCAATTATGTAACAACATGAGAGATTAGTCTAGTGAGAGAAAGATTGCAAGTCCCACTTTGTAATAACTTTCTAGACTAATGGAAGCTTAAATTATTTTATTTACTTCTCGTTTTCTTGATATTGTTTGATTCACATAATCATTACATTTCCGCATTCATCATAATGCCTTTGAAAAGTTGCCAAATGACAGCGTCACAATTTAGAATTCACCATTGTCACAACTGGATTTCCCTTTTAATCCTGTAATATCCATGTTTGTACAATTCATGCTTGCAGATAGATTTCTTGAAGATGAACATTTCAATTATATGAAGATGAGATTTCATGTTGTGTTGGGATAAAATGAAGAACATGTCAAGTCCTTGAAGAAGGTTACAAAGCTGCTTTCAATATCGAAAGATGTTATGTTTGAAAGTTATTTACAAAATTATCAATATAAGGTGATAAGGGAAGATAATAGTGCTTATGAGTTCACTATTGCAAGCTTCCTATTGATGAATTTGAATGATCTTATCACATTGGCATATATGATGAAAACGTTGGATGATAAGCATGTGATAGATAAAAAGTTGTATGTTGTGGGATATCCATATCTCAACAATTACATGGATTGCTATTTAGCACATCTTGGTCTATCAGACTTCGCGATTGCTGAGTCATATAACAAGCCTGAGAAGAATCTAAAGTCTACAATCGACAACGTAGATTTGGAGCAATACGGGGAGATACTTTTGAAACCTTTGGGAGTGATGTTTCAGAGGATAAAAGTAAAAGGAAGTAAAGGAAACCTTTATTCTGCACATATGGAAGGATATGTATTTAACAGCAACCTAACCAATCTTTTTTTTAGAGTTGCTAAATGCAAGGAAAACTCTGCTACTGAAAGACAAAATATTAGAATGGATGTTTGCCGGTACATACAAATCAAGAAGACCTTCATGGAAGCACTGAAGACACTACCATTAGTTTGAAGGCTTGAATACTCTTTGCAAAGCAGGAAAATGTTGGGTTCATATGTTGTGAAGGTATTATGTATCAAAGTGTTTGTTTGAAATGTCAAAGTTAGTGGTTATAAGCCATATTGATGTTTGTGAGCCTTCAATATATCTATATATTTCAGGAAGCACTTTAGAATCTGTACGTTATAATCCAAATCTTTCCGTACATTTTGTATCTATTGATAGCACTATAAATGTTGTTTTAACATAGGTCATAAGTATATAAACAATGTTACACTTTATTAGATCATACTTTGTACTTGTACCTTATTGTCTTCCGGGATAATGAGAGCTTAAACTAAATTATTTAGATATTATGTTCATCTTTTCTTATAAAATCAATATCTGATTGAATTTACGACTCTTCACAATCAATTAAAAACTAAAAGTTAAATGTGTTATGAATACTAACCGTGTGATTCGTACAAATAATATGGGTTACCAGTTTTATAGAATACATTTTTTTTTGTATCCGCATGGCGTTATTATTTATTGAAATTTTAGTTACAATTTTCAATTTACTCAAAATGAAAAGGAATAAACAAAGCTGATACACTTTTTTATTCGCTTCGTGTTAGTGTTAGCTAAGAAAAGGGCCAAAATATTTATTCAACTTGTTCATCAAATAATATTGGTGCTACAACAGAAAACAACAGAAACAAATTTGATACAGTTTTTCTTTTTTTCGCCTCGTGTTAATTAAGATAAACACTTTAATATTTACAAGCGTGGTTACTATGTCTTAAAAGAATATTAAAATAACAAGAATATATTTGCAAGCAGTATTTAAGACATCAGCACATTAATTTCCACATCTCACATTCCATTTTCACTCGCTAACTTCAGCTATCGCCGGAGCTCATCACAATATAAAACCTCACAGCTTTTCAATGGCGTTGCTTACCCCAGCCACTATGCCAATATCATCGCTTCAAACGCGACTGAAATTCATCCTCCAAAACCGACCAGAAAGGTGGCTATACGGCATATTCTGGCAGGCTTCCACCGACAAAGACGGTCATCTTGTTCTCTTGTGGGCCGACGGCTATTTCCCCGGCCCCAACCATGACATGACGGCTCCCATTATTAATGGCAATGACCCAATTTTTGGGTCTGATTCTGTTTCTGATACCCAGTGGTTGATTATGTCTTCTGCTACGATGTGTTTTCCAGCCAAATTTGACGTCGTCGGGGATTGTTTTAGTTCAGGGTCCCACCTGTGGTTGGCTGGGGACATGCAGTTAAAGAAGTACTCCAGCCAAAGAACCGAAGAAGTTAGAGTTCATGGAATCAAGTCGTTGGTTTGTATTCCGACTGTGATTGGCGTTGTTGAATTGGGTTCTTGTGATACTGTGAAAGAAGATGAAGGTCTAATCCGGTTAACAAAATCCGTCTTCGATCCCGATAACTACTTCAACGTTAACTTCTCCCTTCCTGTTAAAGAGTCTGACAACCCTAATCAAGGTTCTTTTTTCAGTTTTGTCATTTTCTGAAACCCTTGAAAAAAGAATGAATCTTGAGACGCTTATGTAATCTAAAAAGATCATCAATGAATCTTGATCTTTTTTTTTTCAGTTTTAACTAATATGGATCTTTGAATCCTTCTTTTGGGTAATCACCAGGTGTTGAAGGACAACTGGAAATGAGCATGAAGGACATGCATATGTCGTCTTCGGATTCTGATCCATTTGAAATCGGTAGCTCGTCGCTACCAACAACCAATGTTTCAAGTACACCAAAGAAGAGAGTTAGAAAAGCAAAGGGTGCAGTTGCAAATTCGGAAGTGATGGCACTAGGGTATCACGTAGAGGCAGAAAGACAGCGAAGAGAGAAGCTAAACGATCGGTTTTATGCTCTCAGAAGTGTGGTTCCTTATGTCTCAAAGATGGACAAAGCTTCTCTTCTGGCTGATGCGGTTATTTACATCAATGAGCTCAAAGCCAGGATCCAAACACTAGAAGAGAAAGTGGGTACAGAATCATCAGTAGCAATTACGTCAAGAAATGAGAGGCAGATGAACATGTGCCATGTTAGTGGTTCAGGAACTAACAACAGGGATGAAGTCGAGGTGAAATTATTTGGATCACAGGCTATGATTAGGGTACAATCAGCGCACATGAACCATCCGGCAGCGAAGTTGATGGATGTCCTTAGAAGCTATGACTTGAAAGTTCAGTACGCGAGTGTGTCAAGTGTTGGAGATCGGATGGTACAAGATGTTATTGTGATGGTTCCTAATGGATTGACATGTGATGCAGATACCTTGAAATTTGTTGTTCTTGAGAAAATGGACATGGACTGATTTTAAATAAAGTTTTAGTAATAGGGTAGGGTTTAATAATGTTTCCTGATTGAGTTTTTAATAATGTTTCCTTAATTTCTTTTAATAATGTTTCGTTAATTTCGTTTTGATGTCTATTAGGATTCCTTCAGTTTTGAGATTATATTTTGAGTTAATATTATGACCAACTTCATATTTTGAATTTTGTCTATATTAACTAAAAGTTTTTTTTCCCTACAAAAGACTTTGTATTTTTCATGTGTTTTGATTTGATGTTTTTGAGAGGTTTACAAGTAATGCTCTGGATTAAATAATTTTTTTCGGAAAAACTGTTAAATTTTTCCAAAAAAATACCTAAAAAAATTCGAAACAACCATCAATTTTGACAATTTCTTTGGAATCTAATTTCAACTTGATATTCATTTGAAATTCAATTTTTGTTTCTATTTGAATCATTTTTTCTTTTAACTCATAATTGTCATGTTTCTCTTTTTAATTTTTGTAATATTCTTAATGGTTTTTGAGCATTATAATTTGAAGATTTCTTCCGAAAAAAAGTCAAATGCCATTGTATGTAAATCTTATTGGAAAAATGCACATGAAAATACATTTACAAGATGGCGAGATATTCTAATAAATAAATAACAATTAATGATTTAAGTTGGCTTAAATTGTTTTAAGAATCATACAGAAAGATTGTAACATTCTACTTTTTGAGCTAGAGGTTTTAGGTTTTTTGGATAAAAATATTTTTTTCTAAATATTAAAATAAAGTAAATTGGAATGAAATAAATAATTGATGGTAAATCATATTAATTCAAAGCCCTAATAAACCTTGTTAATAAATCCTAAATAAATTATGATAAAGTTTGAGCGTCAAATGAAAACTTTTAAGTTAATAGGTTAAACATGACAAGTTAGAACACTTATGTTTGCCTTAAGTAGCGATGAAATAAGTTTCTCAAATCCATTTTGTACAATTAGAACACTTATGTTTGCCTCAAGTAGCGATGAAATAAGTTTCTCAAATCCATTTTGTACAATCTGTGGTTAACTAGAGAAAATTGTGAAATAAAGGCAATTTATTGTAAGATTTTTCAAAGATATGTACCATTTTTAAAAATAATTTTAGATGAACTTGCAATAACTTGCCTTTATTCGTAAAGAATAATGATGGGAGCATGAGGATGTGCATAGATTATAGAGAGTTGAACAAGAAAACGGTTCAGAATAAGTACCCACTAACAAGGATTGACGACATGTTCAATCAGCTGCAGGTTGCAAGCTATTTCTCGAAGATTAACCTTAGGTCAGCATATCATAAACTGAAGGTGAGAGAGCAAGACATCGAAAAGACAACTTTTAGAATGAGATATCAATACTATAAGTTTTTGGTTATATCATTTGGACTAACCTATGCTCTAGCAGTATTCATGGATTTCATTAATAGGGTTTGTAACATTTCCTAGATAAATATATAATAGTGTTTATCGATGACATTCTCGTATATTCAAAGAGTCAGCATGAGCATGCAAAGCACTTGAGAGAAGCATTAGATGTTCTAAAGAAGGAGAAACTATATGTAAAGTTCTCTAAGTAGGATTTTTGGATTCAGGAAGTCAAATTTTGGGTCATGCGGTTAACCAGGAAGGAATAATGGTTGACCCAGCAAAGAGCGAAGTTGTGATGAAGTGGGAATGACCAAGAAGTCCTACCGAGATTCGAAGCTTACTAGGATTAGGTGGATATTACATAAGCTTTCTCCAATAATTTTTTTCAAGAGTTGCTCAATTTGACAACTTTGCCCCATAAAGGAGCTACATATACATGGAGTGAGAAGCATAAAGAAGCTTTCGAGAAATTAAAGAAGACATTATATGAAGCACCGATTCTTTATTTACTTGATGGAGTTTAAGACTTTGCAATTTATAGTGATACATCTGGAGTTTGGTTAGGATGTGTTCTAACCCAGAGAGATAATGTGATAACATATGCATCTCGACAATTGAAAAAGTACGAGAAGAACTACCATTGGTCAAACTTGGAGGTCTACGTGGGAGACTAAGGTTTGACCTTTAATTATTTTAAGGTAGTTTGTGTAGTTGGTTCTACGTAACTTAGAGTATTGATATCTAGCTGTTGATTCAGGTGAGTCTTCTCATTATACTGTAGGATACTAGTTCTTAGGTTATGCTAGTTTTCCTTATGGTTCATTCATGTTTGTTTGAATGCTTTTTGGTTTGGGCCCGTTGGGCTAGGCTCGTTTATATTCTTGTTAGGTTGGAACTGAATGTATGTATGTTGGTATGGATGTGTATGAATGAAACATGATTGTTGGGCTAGGCCCATTAAATGTAAAGTATATGGTATTTTCGGGCACTCACTACGATTTTTTCTTACGATTTTAAGTTTAAATGTTTCAGATGCTTCTAGTAGCAAGGCGAAAAGCTCTGCATGATCGCACCACATAAACATTTATGTTTTGAGATATTCCACCTAGTACTTTATTACTCTAGCTTTATTGTTAAACTTTTGGAATGGTTACTCTATGTGGATGAATGGAATGTTTGGTTTGAAAATTGAAAATTTTACTCTAAAAATTGGGATGTTACAAATATAAAAGGTTACTTTATATTTAATGTTAAATCTAAAATAACATCATAAAAAGTAACAAGAAGAAAAAATATATGAAGTATGAGCCAAAATGAAAAAGGTTGTTCAAAATAAAAAGTTTGTCAAATACGAGTTTTTTTTAGGAAAAAATTTAAGGGTTTTCGAGAAACAAAAAGTTAAAGCAGTACTACAAAAAGAGTAAAAGAACCTAGTTAAAAAGCCTAATATAATCCGGCTTTCAACCAGATTTCTTATTGGCGAGTCCTATGTTGAAAACCTAATAGAGCCCGGTTTTACAACCGGGTCATATTAGCATAATATAGCTCGGTTCCTATATACAAAACTAGTTCTTTTTCTTTCAAATAACGACCTTGTATGTATGACTATATAACCTGGTTCTCATCCTTACAATCGGGTTCTACTATGACATTCAAAATTCAACTTGTTTCATTATATAACCCGGTTCTATAATGTACATACAATTGGATTCTTTAACAGTTTTTTAATATTCATTTATTAAATCTATAATCCAAGTACTAACATACATATGGGTACGATTAGTAAATTTATTTTTTTTGCATTTAATATAATCAAATAAATAAATACTCATATTAATTTCTAATGAATTTGTAAACATTTTGCAACTATTAACACTAGGATCCGACATTAACAAAATGTTCTCATATGTACACCAGTTGAAAGATTTTTTTGACATCAACCGCCTTGCCACACCCCACTTCCAACATGCATCAACTTGCATGAAAGTATCCATGTTGCTCATTTGAAATATCCCAATATACACAAGCCAATGAAACTAGATATACATCAGAAGAATCATCTGCTTCATGTTGATACATGTTCATCAAGATCTTCAAACACCTGGTAGAGAGAAATCATAAGACATTTAAGTAAATTATGGATGCAAAAAGGCTTTTATACATGAACCATAATAAAATTACATACATTGCGACCCCTGGTATTTGAACCTTTGAACCTGGTCATATTGGTTTACTTTACATTAACTCAATAACTATTTCACTTACCCTCAATATAGCTCACATAAAGATCTCAATTAATAACTAAATGACTACAATTTCAGTTTTACCCTAATAAAGAATTAAATTGTCCATATCAAACATGCACCTCAAAATGGATCCAACAGCAATCATATAAATATGAAAGCTACTTCATTACTCTATTGTGTTCATTAACAAATAAAATATTATATATGATGAATTTGTTCCTAATGCTATTTAAATATGTGATGTGGTTGTACATACATGATGCATTTCTTATCTATTATCGGTACCAATATTAATTCAAGAAACAAACTATTATAATTAGTCGATACTCACAAACCTTGCTATGATAATGCCTAAAAGTAATCTTACATTCGTGATTAGGTAAATGAGTTCTTATTGTTCTAGTTAGTTGAATGGAAGCAGCTGCAAACAAATTACCAATTAATTTTTCAATAAAGATATATAAATCAAAAAGGAGAGGAAGTACAAACCTCTTATCAACTGCAATGAAATGGCACCAGGAGGTATAGAAGACTCCATGTCTGCAAACCACTTATGAGGCAGAAAATATAAGTAGGATGCAATATCAATAAAAATGAAAATTTGACAAATAAAGTGGAAAAAGAAGCAAACAATATTGTCTACTGGAGAGAAAACGCGAGTAATATGCTAGATTAACAAAGGGGAAGAAAGATGGTCAGATGTAGATAACACAAAAGGGAAGAGAGATAGTCAGATGCATGTGATAGAGGACGTAAAAACATAGGAAAGAAGACAACATTACACACTCTAAATTTTAAGAGATTCATTTTTGTATCGTAGTTTCTCACTCAACACTCTTGATGAAATTCTCTATTTTTTTCATCTATCATGCCCTCGCCGAACCACCGCCAGATTCACGTCCTTACTTCTTTCTTAATGGTCTGATAAGTCTCTCCTATCATTATTTGTGTTAAATCAATTTCCCCTACTTCACATCTGTAAAGGCTTTTTATGTTTGTTTTTTTATTCTCCTTTTGTACATCCCAATGTTTAATGTCTTTTTTAATTGGAAATTATTTTTATGCTTTGCTTTTGTAGCAGATTGTCTACCACTAAGGGAAAAAATGTCAAAATACAGAACTAAGATGAAAAGACGAATCACTTGAACTTCACCAGATGAGTTTTCTGGTGTATAAATGGTATACAACAGCAAGGAACCAAAGAGGAGTAATCAGCAAGCAAAAAAGACTCAAATTAGCACCAAGGGCTAAAATGGTCAAAATATGAAACAAATTAGGAAAATAACAAGCACCAGGGATGGAGAAAAATGTTTCTAACACGGTTGAATTTACAAAACTAAACCATATGACAGCAGATAAAACATACCGGTTTTGTCAATGAATCCAGGTTTTTTAACTTGATAATGCATCCTGATTCCCTACTACAAACCGGGTCATATAGTTCTTCCTTT